ATTACTTATTAGTAAGATAAAAAACTGACTTATCACCAAATAAGTTTTCTCGATAAATTCAAGTTATTATAAATCTTTTAATGAGGACTCGGTTCTAATTTTTACTATTTTTTTCTTATGCTTGCAGATGGAGATTGAATCATGCAAATGAGACACAAAAATTGATTTGGCATATAATCGTTTTTGGCACGAAAAATGTTTAATAATTAAATTTCTACAAATTTATTATTGTGCTCTTCTAAATATTCTACAGTATGTTTCACTTTGCTTTGTTTGAAAAAAAGCTTCCAATTAAATAATAAATTTTAAATTTTAAAATAACAAATTTCATGTTAATTTTTTTTTTTTTAACTTCAAGTACAATTTGGAAAAACATTGCAGAAAAACACAATTGGACACACACTCACACAATCTTGAATTACCAAATCTCACTAATGACTTTGAAGTAACGTCCCTCACCCAGTCAACCCCTTCTCTCTTCCCTCAGTCCCTCTAGATTCCCCAAATACAATCCCCCCCCCCTGTCAGTCCCTCGTCCTCGCCAACTGCCAAGCCACCACCGCCCCAACCCCACAAGCCCTTCATCTAGCCCCCCCACACCATAACGAAAACCCATCCTCCCCTTCCCTCCGGCGTCCAACTCCTGTGACCCATATATTCCAGCGATCAGCACTTTTGGTCTCTCTCTCTTCCCTCTCTCTTCTTCTCTCGCACGCAGCACACATCACACAGCGCACACGGACACATAAAACACACACCCGCACTACACGCAATTGGTTTATTTGATTAATTGTGTGGTCGGCTTGATGGTTTTGGTTTTCTTGTGTGAATTTTTGTTACCGAGATTTGTGTCCCTCAACGGCATTGACGGCAAAAATATTCCGACGAATATACTCCGGCGAGGTATGTGACAATTACATTATCAATGGGCTTGACACATACCTCACCGGAGTACCTCGACTGAGTAATATTGATTTTTGAGATCTGAGACGAAGCAAAGGTCGTCTCCCTCCAGCCGATGATGCTCGCGACGTCCAACCGCAGGTCTCCTGGCGTTTTCCCCTTGCGTTTCGTTTTTGGGAGAATTACACTTAAACCCCTGAGGTTTGTCCCTACTCAAATTTTCTGACATTTGAAATATTATATCCAAACTCTCGAAGTTTGTACGCGCATAACATTTAGACCGATGTTGTAATTATATTCGTTAATAAATTATACTTAGATCTCCTGAAGTTTGTGGGTATACAATATTTAGACCTGTTAAGTTTAAAATATTATACTTAGGTCAANTGAGCATAACATTTAGACCGCTGTTGTAATTATATTCGTTAATAAATTATACTTAGATCTCCTGAAATTTGTGGGTATACAATATTTAGACCTGTTAAGTTTAAAATATTATACTTAGGTCAAAAATACTCTAATCAAATATAAAATATAAAATATTTTAAATTTTACAATCAAAATTCATGTTCTATTGCATTATTTATTGAAATAAAATTAAAAATAAAAATTCAATTTTTTCTTAAAAAATTGTAATTAGTATACAATTATATTGTCTATTAGAATTTAATTAAATAACTAAATTAAAATATCAAACTACTCCAATTAATTCTAAAAGATATTGTGTCTATTACAGTTTGATTCCTTGTTTAATTTTTTAGTTTTGTTTTAATGGATAGTATAAATATATACTAACTATGTTTTTTTTTTTTTAAAAAAAATTTATTTTTATTTTTGATTTTATTTTAATAAATGACATAATAGAACATATTTTTAGATGTAAAATTCATATTCTATTATGAATGACTTAGACCCATTGTTTGATTTTTTAGTTTTATTCTAATAAATAGTATAATTGCATACTAATTACGATTTTTTTAAGAAAAAATTAAAATTTTATTTCAAATAATAATACGATAGAATATGAATTTTGATTGTAAAATTTAAAAAATTTGATATTTGATATTTGATTGGAGTATTTTTTGTCTAAATATAATATCTTAAACTTCAAGGGTCTAAATATTATATACTTACAAACTTTAGAGGAGTCTAAGTGTAATTTATTAACGGATATATTTATAACATGGGTCTAAGTGTTACGCGCGTATAAACTTCAGGGGGTCTGTATGTAATATGTCAAATGTCAAGGAGTCTGCGTAATTAAGTATAATTTTCTCTTTCTTTTTGCTAGATGTGCTGTTTAAATTAATTAATGAGAGAGAGAGGTTGTATGGGCCCACTGGCATAACATGGAATGTACTTGGGAAAATGAAAAAATGGGAAAATTGAGAAAAGTACACAAAATTAGAGTTAATTGTAAATAAGTATACAGAAAAAAATGTAGAGTTAAAAAATTCTTAATTTTTATACTTATTTGTTTTCAAGTACATTATTTAAAATTTTTATATTTTCTTCTGACATTTTTATCCTTCCTTGATCCATGATTAATTTTTTTGGAAAGTGATTTTATTTTCAAATTATATTTATGCATTAAACATGTCCAAGTTTTATGAGATTACTTTAATATTACGTCTATATTTGGATATATGACTGTGTTTGAATTTTAAATTTTGAAACCCTCTTTTTTTTTTTAACCATAGTCGTCTTCTTAAACTGGCTATACGTTGGAAACCTGAAGACAAGTTGTATTCGACGTTGGAAGTCTGAAAACAAGTTGTCTTTTACTATCTAGACCCCTGCCTTTTTTACCATAGTTGTCTTCTTCGACTCGCTATACACAAAATTTTTTTGGCCAGACGTAGGAAGCTTGAAGTGTTGTTTGTCTTCGACTGCACACAAATTTTTTTGGCTAGACATTAGAAGCCTGAAGTGTTGTGTCTTCATAACAACACCAACAAGGTTTGAATCTATGTCTTTAGTATGTTAACCACTTGCATTTTAAATGCATTAATGTATATATGTTTTAAGGATATATGTACTTGTATATATGTTTTTATTTTCTGTTTCATTGTATCTATTCTTTTAATAGTGTCAGAGATTTTGGTAATGGAAGAAACGGTGTTGCTGTTATGTACATACAATGTCATAAAAATGAAAAATAATCTTGTCATATATTTTAACTAATAATGAAGTGTGTAAGAACCATAATATTTTTTAAACACATTTTATTAGGATAGTGACATTTACTTGTATCTCTCTGCATCATATATGGTCTTTAATTTGTTGAAATCAATCACATCCAATGCTTTACAATCACGCTACATTTTTTTAATCTCTTTTTCTTTTTTCCCTTTAATAGTAGTGATCTTGTCCACACTGTCATCATCTTCATCTATTTCAACTGTTTCCCTAGTTCCGACTTCACTCAAAGTGTTTTTGTGGCTTATCACATCTGATGTCAAATTTTATTTTTTTTCCTCTTTACTTTCTACTATATTCAAATTTTTCATCTCTCTTCCTTTTCCTATCCGTTATCTTGATGTTTTGAACCATTGATGTTTGTCCTTTTTTTGTCATTACCCCCGAATTTCAACTGATTGATATTTCTGAGTGATGATATGCATAGATAACTTGTTAAGTTGATCAATCAATTCATTTTCTCGATTTTGTATTGTCTCCTTGCCGCTTGTATTTCTGCTTCATACCTTTGTTCCCGCTTTTTCATGGTTTCAACTAACTCATTCAACTCCTTATCACCATGTCATTTTCTTTCATTTTTAATGAGAAGGTAGTGTCTTATTTGTCTAACACATTATCCCTAACAACAAACTGTGAATGCTCCAAAGAATTTTTACTTGAGGCTATGTTGCGTATAACAATTTTCAATACATCATTCTACTTCTTAAGCTCTTGAATTGTTTTTTTTGTTTTTGTGTTCTTCTCCTCTTACATCACAATCATCTCGTAGTGCAACATCAATATCTTCTTAAGTTTCATATTTTTCAGAAACTTGTTCCAGACCATCATCACCAATTACATCCATAAGAGATTCATTAATAGCAGCATCAATAAGAGATTCAAATGATACATTCTCTTTACCACCATCACCAATTACATCCATAATATCATCGTCATCCTCAAAAAATGTGTCATGCTCTGTCTCCTCATATCCCCTTCCCTCACATCCTTCTTCATCCACCTCAAGATTTAATTTTTTTACTTCACCAATTTTGGTCTTTCCCACCAATTCAGACTGGCCCCCTTCTTCTTGTTTGCTTTCCTTCCATTTGATAACATTTTCCTCCTTCGCTGTTCTTTTCAATCTATGTCTCAGTACATTTGAAACATTAAAAATATCGAGAATTAGATGCATAAAAAATTAAGTGTAACGTAGAAGTATAGCATAACAGTGTACCAATACAGTGTTATGCTTCAAGTGTAGGAATACATTGCTAAAATACAACATTAAAAATCCAAAATGATACTGTGCTGAGCTACTTACATGTTTTGACTTCAACTTTCCAAGTCTTTTCTCTTTCATAGTTACATGGTTATGAATTGCTCATTCTTAATTGCATCCTGACAATTTTTGAGATTGAACTTGGAAATCATGCTTGTATATCTTTTAAACTGCTTTACCCAAAAAGAATTCCGTTTAATATTAGTTTTTGTTAATATTTTAGTCTTAATCGGAATTGATATGCTCTCAAATGGTTTTTAGTTCTATGGGAATGTTCTTTGATGTAGTCATTGCTTTGGCCAGGAATATTTTTATGAGTTGAATTCACTTGTTCTAATACTTACTGTGTTAAAACTTGTAGCATTGTGATATGGGAAATGTAGTGGTGGACATATGTGTGAATATTTTGAGTTTGCCAATGACTGGATGGGTTGCTTATTTTTAGGGCATTATTTTCCAAGATGGAGTGTTACTATCAAAGTCTTCTTTTGGTTCTGTTTAATTGTGTGGCTTAGACTTATCACATGTGCGCCCCTCCCTTCCCCTTCTCTCCCTCCCGCAAAAAGTAGATTAGTGAATGAAAGTGCAAATTACAGGACATGACCAATCTACATATTGCGCAGAAGGATAGCTTGTAATGGATTCGAATGGAAAGGGGCTTTTTGATGGAATGGGTTATGGAATTGAATGGATAGGGGCTTCAGTGGTGCTGGTTAAATATAGGACGTGTAAGGTGTAGTAGGTCATGTGTATTTTATTTTATGACGGATCTACTTGGCTGGTATGTCGGAGAACTTCATTTATTTGGTGAAGACAGTGTAGTTTACTTTAGTTAGAACCAAAGATATGCTTGGGAATCTAATATCCATGACACTGTTGATCTCCATTAGTCGAAATTGGTTGATGGATTTGTAGATGTAACCTTCATATTACTTGCTGCAACATGACATGTCGGACACTCATTTACGTTGTGTTTCCGTTTAAAATATAAACATGTGACGACATGTAATTAATATAGCTTGAAAATTTGACAAATGATTATCTTATACTATGCAAGAAAAAGTAATTGTTAAGATTATCATGTTAAAGTTTTCTTTAAAATTCACTGACAAAAGAAAAAAGTGCATGTTTTGTACCTGACAACGACCCCCTCTCAATGGATGCTGAAACATGAATTTATTACTTGGGAAACAATTTGTTAGACCACCAACGTTCTCAGATTCTGGCCTGCAGTTGACTCCGAGGATCTTTTCTAATCTTCACATTGATTTTTCAAGTTTTACGCTCTCCCAGATTCAAAGCATTTCGCTGAAGGAGAAGGTTTGCATTGGTTTTTCTCTGCCCGAGCTCTTCAGTGAATTTTGTATCCTACAATTGCACTTCAAGTTCAATATGAGCTGCAGGAGTGAATGTTTTATTTCTCTGGAAAATATCCATAGACATGCACTAGTTCATGCAAAGAAGATTAATTATTAGGGTTTCTTCAGGACAACTGGCTTCTTTGCATTTTTCTGAAAATATGACAGATTTGTATATGGTTCATTACTGTGAACTTATTTGCATGTCTTATTTTTCTTTTGTTGATTTAATCTGTGAACCAATATAATATCTTATTTCGGTCTTCTTTTTTGAAATTTTTGCAGGAGATATCCACGGTCAATATTCTGATTTTCTGAGGATTTTTGAATATGGAGGATTACCCTCTAAATCCAATTATTTATTCTTGGAGGATTATGTAGATCGTGGGAAGCAAAGTCTGGAAACAATATGCCTTCTCCTTGCATACAAGATAAAGTATCCTGGAAACTTTTTCCTTCTGAGGGGCAACCATGAATGTGCTTCTGTTAACTGCTTATATGGATTTTATGATGAATGTAAGCGGAGATTCAATGTTCGACTATGGAAAATATTCACTGATTGCTTTAATTGCCTACCTGTTGCGGCGTTGATTGATGAAAAGATACTCTGCATGCATGGGGGACTTTCTCCCAACCTGCATGATTTGGATCAAATCAGAAATCTACAACGTCCAACTGATGTTGCAGAAACTGGTTTACTTTGTGATCTACTCTGGTCAGATCCTATTAATGATGTTAATGGAAAATTTCATCTACACCCCCCCGTAGATAGGCCTAACTTCAGTGACACTCCTTTCCCATTCTGAAATTTCACTGACACCCCTTGTCAGTGTTGGTCGAGAAATGGACGTGACGGAAATGTTTCTTTTACCATTTTACCCAAACTTTATATTGTTTATATATATATATATTATTAAACAGAGAACCCTCCCCCCCTAACCCACCCCTCCTTACCCCTTCTCACCTCTTTCTCCACCGCTTTCATCCGACGGCTGACACCATCCTCACATCACCCCCACTCTCTCTCTCTCTCTCTCTCCACAAACCCCTTCCATCCGTGTCGAGATAGGAGCAAAAAAATATCAAATTGATTTGGGGGTTTTGTGACGGGTGTTGATGCAAGGGTTGTGGTGGTGGTGGTTATGTGAAAGCTGATTGTCGACGGTGCGTGTGCTGGAGGGTTAATATGGGGTGGCTAGCCGGTACTTGTTAATATTGTTAGAGATGGGCTTGGAGTGTTCATGGCCCTGTTTTGGTTTTTTGGTGAAGATCAAGGAGATTTTGGGGAGAACAAATCCCCAACTTTTTCATGTGTATAGAGAAGCGAATGGGGTGGCTGATAGCTTGGCTAACAGGGTTGTGAGGGATCATTGTTCTTCAGATTTTTCTTGCTCTAGATCGCTGCCGAAGATGGTAAATTGCTATTGATGCAGGATCAAAGGAGGTTGCCTATTGCAAGAGTTAAAAATGTGGTCATTTTTTATAATAAAGGATAGAAAGCCAGTACCACTCCTCCGAACTCATACGTTTTAGCTTCAAATTGCGCTTCTTGTTCCGACGTTGGGAAGGGCACTGAAGAAAAGAACTGTGTTTTTTGCAAGATTATTCGAGGGGAAGCAACGGCTTTGAAGGTACTCTCTCTGATGTTTTACTTCTTTTCTTTGAATTTGAGTTTTTGATAACTGTTACTAGTATTGTATATCTTGCTTAGTTTAAGGTTTGGCCAAATTCGATCCTAACAAATTTATGGAAATTGTTTTTCTGACTCAACTATGGTGTATTGGGTCGCTGTTGCTACCTTAATTATCTGATGTAAAATTTCACAAATATGAAGTACTGAGGAATTGTGAACTCCCTTATTTTTATTGAATTTGATTTGACTGCAGCTCTATGAAGATGATGTATGCCTTTGCATTTTGGATAGAAATCAACTAAGTCATGGGTAAGGAATCATGTTGAGGATTCGATTAAACTCTGTTGAGGTGCCCTTGTTCTTCCGATGTTGGGCATTCANACTGCAGCTCTATGAAGATGATGTATGCCTTTGCATTTTGGATAGAAATCCACTAAGTCATGGGTAAGGAATCATGTTGAGGATTCGATTAAACTCTGTTGAGGTGCCCTTGTTCTTCCGATGTTGGGCATTCACAGTTTATCTCCAAAATATATTGAAATAATGCAATAATGGGGTTAGAAAGATAGTCGTGTGAGTGCAGGGTCTTGCTTTGGAAGTAAAGTTTTTGTTTTTTGATATGTTTTGAAGGATTAAATCATGGTGTGTATAGGGATTTTTCGTTTTGCTTCTTGTAATTCTTTGGTTATTTCAAATAAAATTTTTTGATTTTTTTTTTAAAAAAGAATTTGTTGTGTATTTGGTTAGCTGGTTAGTGCTGGTGTTGCGGAGACGAAGGTGCAGCAGAAGTGGTGTGAAGAAGAAAGGGGTAAAATTGATATTTTAGAAGAAAAACAAGATTACATCATCACTTTTTTGTCAGTAACGGTTTGCCGTGGTAAGNATTTTTTTGATTTTTTAAAAAAAAAAAGAATTTGTTGTGTATTTGGTTAGCTGGTTAGTGGTGGTGTTGCGGAGATTAAGGTGCATCAGAAGTGGTGTGAAGAAGAAAGGGGTAAAATTGATATTTTAGAAGAAAAACAAGATTACATCATCACTTTTTTGTCAGTAACGGTTTGCCGTGGTAAGGGGTGTAGTTGAAATAAATATATGAACGATAAGGGAGTGCAGTGAAATTTCAGAATGGGGAAGGGTGTCACTGAAGTTAGACCTATCTACAGGGGATGTGGATAAAATTTTTCCTGATGTTAAAGGGTGGGGAAGGAATGATAGAAGAGTTTCCTATACTTCGGCTCTAATAAGGTGACAATTTCTTCAAAAGCATGATCTGGACCTGATTTGCCGTGCCCACCAGGTTTAGATTGAATTTGAGGGTATATTTGGATTACATCTCAAAAAATAGTACCCGAAAACAGTTTTTGAGAAAAGTTTTAAAAAAGTATTTCTGAGACATTACNCTGATGTTAAAGGGTGGGGAAGGAATGATAGAAGAGTTTCCTATACATCGGCTCTGATAAGGTGACAATTTCTTCAAAAGCATGATCTGGACCTGATTTGCCTTGCCCACCAGGTTTAGATTGAATTTGAGGGTATATTTGGATTACATCTCAAAAAACAGTACCCGAAAACAGTTTTTGAGAAAAGTTTTAAAAAAGTATTTCTGAGACATTANTGAATTTGAGGGTATATTTGGATTACATCTCAAAAAACAGTACCCGAAAACAGTTTTTGAGAAAAGTTTTAAAAAAGTATTTCTGAGACATTACTTTCTTTGCACCCCCTCCCAAAAAAAGAAAGAACGAAATATCTTAGTGTCTCGGTGGTTATTTCTTTATTTGTAGGTTGTGGAAAATGGATATGAGTTTTTTGCTGGTAGGCAACTTGTAACCATATTTTCAGCCCCAAATTACTGTGGAACGTTTGACAACACTGGTGCCATGATGAGTGTAGATGTGAGTTTGATGTGCTCTTTCCAAATTCTGAAGCCTGCCAAAAAGAAGCCAAAGTTTTGTTTTGGGAGCACAACTTCAGCAAATCCAGGGACCCCTTCTACAAAAACCAACCTCTGTTCATCCAACTATGACCAGATGATATGTTGGATTCTAAAATTATTCTATCTTGTCTATTACTTATTCAGGACACGTAGGCTGGATATTCTTTAAAGAGAAGTGGAACTATAGTTCAATGACCAGGGATAAAAATATTTGGGTGAGAACTAGCGGAAGGGTAGTGTCAGTTAAGCATGAGGTCATTCATTACTAGAAAGGCTTATAGCCTGCATATTTGAGTGGATGATATATTGGTTATTAAACAACAGAATGTCATGCGAGTACAATGAAGTATTGTGGATGAGTAGAGCTCTACCTTTTGTATAAGCATTTATATTTTGCTGACTTTATATTATACCCATCCGTAAACGTACATAATTAAATGTCTTTATGAGATCTTGCAGGATCAATAATCCTCATCACCTCTGTGGGTTTCTTGAATTGATTGTGCTGTGCAAATCCATGCTTGTGCCTCTCAGTAACATGTACTGAGGATCATGAATCAGTTTAGCATTCATCTATTTGTCATAGGGTTTGCTCTGGAGTCCACTGTTTGTTCTTCCCATGGCCTAGGATGATGCAGTGAGTACTGTGTATAGTATCTGATGTGTAATGTAGATAAACTCATATTAAGTATCCATATGTTGCTGGCTTTTTTCACCAAGAATGTACTGCTCTGAAGTGTATCTGACAGTGGGCATGTTCAACCTGTATAAGTCACCCATATTGTACTTTGTCATAATTGTGCCCCTATGGTGACTTGAATGCATGTGTAGGAGCTTGAGTTTGTTTTTAAAAATTTTTAGTTTCGACATTTTGTTCTCATTCTTGATTGAGAAAATCCTTCCTCCCTCAAGTTTCAAGTTACGATATTTCCCTGACATATCAATTCAGTGTTCTTCTTCTTGCCTTGTATTTAATTTGGCAGATTGTGAAATTAATGTTTGATTCATCTTCTTGTCTTTCACTGTTTGCTTTGGTCATTCATAAATCATTCATCTGGTGCATCAGTTGTTTCTGATCATTCGCAGTGAACAACTGTCATCTGATTGGGTGCTTTGTGTGACATGCTTGTTTACTCATATTAGCGGATAGAGAATAGCTTTATCATTTTACTGATAAGGAACCCAGAGATGAAGGTTTGCACGACTACTAATGTGGTCATATATAGCTGAGACAAACAATTCAATCTTATGTATGCTGGCTTCACTCATCATTCCATGTTAGATACTCCTCTAGTGTGTGTATATTTTGACTAATATACTACAGTTTATCTCCTCTAGTCAGAATTTTAAAAATAAATTTCTCCTGTGCAGCCATTCCTTGGTGCAAATATAGGATGAAATTGGTCGTTTGATCAATGTATCAATGGAGAATGAGATCCATTCTGTGGCGTTCAAGGCAAAAGGCTGCTAAAAGATGTTCGTATCTGTGTGTATATCAGAGATATCGAGGGAAGCGATTTACTGCAAGCAATCTGCAGAAAGAGAATATAAAAGATGTCATTCCGATAGTATCTTCTTTTTTCCGATAAGTAAGATGATTTCAATTAATCTAAATGGCTCGTCCTTCCGATAATATCTGTTGGGATGGTTTGTAACAAATTCTCTCCCTTGTTAGCTATACAGCCTGCTAGGGTTGGGGGATAGGATTCTCCCCCAACAAATTACTGCCAACCTTTTCTTATTGTACTTGGAACCATACTGGTGCAGTCAGGTATAAATACTGGTAGCAAATGACCCGTGGAGTGTTACATCCCTGCTGAAATAAGTGGGACTGTGTTAGCTGTTTAGTTTGCAAGTCCATTTGTTTCTCTCATACTACCTGTTTGAGTTGTCTAGGGGAGTAACGGGTCTTTGTTTCAATAGTACTTTTTATTTTGTGAAAGTTTGGTCTTCTTGAGGTCAGGGTTCAAATCCCCTTCTCTTTTCCCCCTTTGAAAAAAAATAAGTTGTCTAGGGTACCAAAAAAAAAATTTGGTACCATTCTGCCATTTACATTTTTTGAGAATGTTTTTTTACCACTTTTGTGGTACCTCTTTTTACAACATTTTATGATTGATCATAGGGTATCACAAAAGTGATAAAAATATTTACAATTGTAAAAATGCTCACAAAAGTTGTAAATCACCCACAAAAATTGTAATTTTTTTTTGTAAAAATACCCACAAAAATAATAAAAATTGGAGGTACGGTATCGAATTTTTTCTACCGTACAGTAGTCTTCTCCGTTCTCTGCAAGTTTAGCTCTGTTTATAGGCTCCATCCCATTTCATTGAAGCAATTCAAAACAAAAAAGAAATTAACAAGAAGCCATGGTTTTTTTTGAACAGAACAAGAAGCCATGGTGGATCATCCTCTAAACCTTTGGAGTTTGGGCCCCTTTCCAGTAGTTACAAACCTTTTAAATTCTGCAAGGTAAGAGAGAGAGTGCCAATCACACATACATATATACACCAAGTGATATATATATATATATATAGACGAAAAATTGTTGAGAGATAGAGAGGGGAAGGGAGAGCTGGGGATTGAAAGGCTTGCATGGTGGTTGCCTTGTGAAGCTCCCCCTCTTAAGAGGATCTTAAAAACGTGTTTACGAGACACATCACATTTTTAAGCCAACAAGAAAGTGGGGTCAACAGCTCTGTTTTCTAATAAAAGTAGAAATAATAATTGTTTTTTGATATAAACGGAGTAATTGATCTCATTTTTAAAAAGTGTGGTAGTTTGGTAAATAAGTTTAAAAGTGTCTTAATTTGATAAATAAATTTAAAAGTGTCTTAGTTTGATAAATTTGTTTAAAAAATGCTGTAAAGTGGTACGTAACTCCTTTGGCATTGCGAAATTGAAGCTCTTCTAGCAATCTATAGCTTCAAAGAAGTGGCCTCCGGGACCAGATAAAGATAGTATTCCGACATGGGAAAGCCTCATTTTGGGTTTTCATTAAGTATGACAAGAGGTGGTAATAGATGGGTAAAGTTGGTTATGAGTTAGTTTAAATTGGGTTGAGTTCAAAATAAATTCAATCAATTTTTAATTTGCTTAATAAGCATGTTATAATGGGTTGAATAATAACAAATTGAGTTACACTCATTAAAATCCACACACAAATAATGATACACTGGCCTTTTCTTGGTACTAGTTGGCCTTTTTTTGGTACTAGTTGGTGTGCACGTGCGTTGCACATGGACTATTTCAAATCATAGTTTTGTTTTCTTATTCTAAGAGAAACAACTCCTAAGTTCTGATCAAGGTTAGCTTGATACCCACAAACTTTCAGAAAAAAAAAATTAAATTTTTTGTTTCAATTTACTTTATTTTCTATCATCTAAAAAATAAAAATGAGTTTCTAATTGAAATTAAGAGGTTGTCAAGATTCTACAAACAACCCTTTGACAGAGAATTTTTTTTCATTTTTTTCATAGCTTTGATTAAGTGTAGTGTCAGGTGACTGAAGTTATTTCATCATCTCAGTCTGCTTAGATTTTTTTTTTTTCACTTCACTATTGTAGTCTCTACACCTTGAGGAGATGGTCAGTGAGTAAGGCTGAGACAAATAACAAAACAAATAAATTTACCCCATAAAATTATCAAGAATGAGTGCATGAGCATATTTAATAGTTATGTTAGATTAGACAAAACAATAGATAGCTATATAAAGCTTATGTTGTCTTATTATAGAGGATTTACACATCTTAGTAGATAGCAATATTATTGTGCTTTGATAAATTATTTCTCTATATTTTGTGCTTGATCGTGTATTCTTAAAAGCTTATATCTATATTGACCAAACCAATAAACTTGTCCAATTTTTTCAGCATTTATCTAGTTAAAATCAATATGAAATAATGAGATTAAACAAAACTATGACCATACCTTATGTTGGATCCTTGTCTTCATATGTTATCCACCGTCCACCACTCTTAAATGTTGAGTTTTCTTCATTGTCAAAATGAACAAACTTTAATTAAAATCAAAAAATAAAGGCAACATATACATTCACATACAGAATACAAAAACAAGAACAAAAAGTGAGATCAATTGATTGGTGGAAAGAGAAATAAAGAAAATAATTCGCATAATTATGGAACAGTAATGCTATGCTGATCAAAATTAGAGACCAAATAAAGAGTTTAAATAACATGACAGTTGCTGATATAACAATATTAACCGCCATGTCATTTTTTTTCTCTGTTTTTTTGTCTGTACGTGTTAGAGAAGCGGAGAAGACGAAAAGATTTTGCCTCATCTGTCTTTAATTTGGAGAAGACGAAAAGATTTTGCAGATATGACAGTTAATTTTATCATATCAACAACTGTCATGTCATTTAAACTCTTTATTTGATCCCTAATTTTGATCANTCAACAACTGTCATGTCATTTAAACTCTTTATTTGATCCCTAATTTTGATCAGCATAACATTATTCATTATGGAACTTAATAACTATAAGAGCTTTTTGACTTTTGTGCTTTGATTGTTATAAAAGAAGGGAGAATGTAATCCATATTAAGTTAGATTTTGAAAGATTAAAAAGTAAATGAAACAAAGTGAAAGTTTTTATGGTATGTGTTGGAGGAAGGATTAAAAGTCTAATTATTTGAAAGTAAAAAAATGACTTTTTATATATTATTATTTGAACAATCATGCACAAGTGTATCAATGAATCAATAGGAAATTAAGTGGCTACAAAAATAGAATTAAATAATAGTTGTATTGTAAAGTAAATATTTGGTGAAAAGAATTTGGGAGAGAGAGAGTCATCAACTTGTGAAATAAGTAAATGTACACTATAAGGAACAATAATTTGTGTAGAAGTGAAAATAAATGAAAGGTCATTTGAATATTTAATTAATATTTGATATTTAAACACATAACGATATAATTGGTTTTAACCTTTTTAATAGGGATATAATGGTTAATCAAAATTTTTTCACTTAACTTCATTTTATTAGTAGTATAGATGCACATTTTTCTGACATGGGGTGGGGGGGGGG